ACATCTTGAACTTAGCTGACAAACCACACAAAACACTTCTCCACACTTAACAAATGCAACTATTTGAGCCAACCTCGTCATCATATCATGATCAAAATCATTCTCACCCAGATGTATAAAATAAACAAATGACGCTCCATCAAATGAACTATCGGGCTCGGGGAACATTCTTTTACAGTAATTTAAGACTTATGCACCCAAAAGCTGAAGCATTCACACTAACTAACGCAGGCGGCTCACTATAGATAATAAGATACAAGAGAGGACAATCTCGGAATCCATTAGTTATCGTCTGACCGTAATTTAGCAACATGGAAAGATTCCAAAGTGATATAGCCAGGATATACAGATAACCAATTTCTGAAACAAGACTTTCTCTAAGTTTCAGTAAGCAATTTGTTGTGTGATTTGTTATGTGATAACACATTTCAGCTAATCTATATGAACCGATATCATATGAATGCAGATACATTTAGAAAAAAGCTAATAAAAAGCTAAATTGTTGTCAGACAAAAGCTAAGCTGCGTTCCAAGATTGCATTTTGGCCAATGTATTCCGCCTCTTTAGCTCCCCACACAGATTGTTTAACTGTATCCAACCAAAGCTTGCTCCAATGTTATTGGTCAAGACTACAACAGAACTCACAATGTTTCCAATACCAAAATCTTGGTCCTTTGACTACTGATATGTAATTATAGATTAGAAAGGAGATAATCCAGTCTCAGCTATTATCCCAAGATCAAATGTTACAACATTCCTGAACAGAATTTAAAATATATTTACATTATAGTTATCTTGCTGTTCCCTCTTTATTTTCCTTCTCCTTCCTCTCTTTTCCTTCCCTCCAGAGTCTTCAAGCCAGTATAGACAAAGCAGTGGGCTACCTGGAGTCACGTCTGCCCAACCTCATCTACTCATATGCTGTTGCCATTACATCATATGCCCTGGCCAATGAAAACAAACTCAACAAGGAGATCCTCTACAAGTTTGCTTCCTCAGGTGTTGCTCACAGCAATATTCTTCAACTAATATTCAGAAACATATAGGTGTAGAGATTCAAAAACATTACACATCCATTAATAATTCCTATAATAGGTTTACCAGAGGCAAGCAACACATTGGTGTGGTCCATATAATAGGGTGATTTTCACTCAGTACAGAAATGCCAAAAATGTGTTATTTATATATATATATTTTTCTTATAATTCTTTAGCGGAAGAGAATAAGGAGTATTTACAAAATACTTCAAATCGCCTTCTTGATTTATGCATTAGTGCATTATCTTAAGCTAAACTACGGTGGCTGCAAATTGTGCACAGGGTATTATCAGCCCCTTTAGTTTGACCTGAACGCAGCGGGTCACAACCAAAAAAAGAAGCTCATCTTATTTTTTCTTATTAAATAAGCAACACTCTTTAAATCATGATAATGTGATAGGTAATAGCATGGGTAATGATTCGCAAAACAAGAGATTATAATCTAAAAGTAATAGTATGGTGAATAATGCACACATGGTTAGAGCATAAATTAATAATAGGCAACTCATAAATCAAGTGAATACAAGTAAAATAAATGAATGAAGCAATAAAAATGATAAGGCAAATTAATCAAATGAAAAAAAAGATTATATAGATTAAAATGTCCGACAATCTTGAGACCACCTCAACTAATTCTAACATTAAAATCTAATCACTTTCTGATGGAGACCCACATCTTATCACATGACACAAAAATAAATGAGAGAAAAATTATAAATGCATGATAAGTGACCTTTATCAGTAAGGAATATAGCACAATCATGACAATATTCCTGTCGGCCCTTTCTTTTGGGAATCTTTGTGATACTCCTTGTGGTTTTTTTTTTTGGTTGGTTTTTTCTATCGTTGTTTTTTATTACAAGTAGACAAATGGGAACAACAACCGCATACATGTATTCCTCAGACTTGTCCCACTGGCCAGTACAGGAGCATAAAGAATATACACGGGAGGCCACAGCTTACGCTCTTCTTGCTCTGGTCGAAGCAAAGGTGAGCATGTCCCACTTGTCATGTTACAAAAAACATACAACAGAATCATCATTCATGTTGCTCCACTAAAATGCTAGTGAGTTTGAAAAAAAAAGTAAGTGAAATGTGTGCCACTGCCTCAAATGTCACTTATAAAAAAGTTTTACACTTTAAATAACCATATTTCTCTATTTGATTGGCATCACTTTCTGGGGGAATTTCTGATTATACATTAACATTATACATATGTATTTGAAGCCTTTGGTAACAAGAGTTGAAATTACTTAAAAGCTGAGTTATAAAAACAAGGGACAGATTTGAACATCCTCCAGCACCTTATAATCACACAGTAATGACAATTACAAACAAAAACAGACTTGATGTTCCTTGTGATTGATTGCTTGTATCAGGCAAGTTTTGAGTAGTCTGCAGTCTGATTGTGTCATAATTCAAAATTACTTTAGCAGATCTATGGTAGTTCTATAGTTTGTATAACTGTAACAGAATCAGGACTTTAAAAAATTAAAGTCAACCACAGACAATTTTAACAGTTTACTTTCCTTCTGTTAATAAAGGCCTTTGAAGACGCCAGACCTGTGGTCAGATGGTTCAACCAACAGCAGAACGTGGGCGGAGGCTTTGGATCAACTCAGGTAACACAGACTGCTGTCTACATTTTGATACAGTTTTGTACTGCTACCCACTTTTGTGCTGTTTTCCTTGCATTTAGCTTATATTAATATGGGTTCATACTATTGTTTATGTCTCTCTCCAGGCTACCATAATGGTGTACCAGGCTGTTGCTGAGTACTGGGTCAATGCCAAAGAACCAGAGTATGATCTGAATGTGGAAATCTTGTTGCCAGGCAGGTCAAAGCCTGACAAGTACAATTTTAACAGGGAAAACCACCACACCACGAGAACATCTAGAGTAAGTATGCACGCACGCACACACACACACAGATCTTCAGTAAGGGCTATAAATTCAGTCTTGCTCAAAAACAGTAACAAACCTGGTGGCTATATTCACAGAACATTTTATGTGTCTATGTCTATATAAGTTATTATACATCATATTATTTCTGGTCCAAACAGTATAAGCTACCCTCACAAAGTCATTGCATCTCAGGTTTAAAGTGTAACTACACTCTTAACTTGTGCTAGTTCCCTCCCTCTCAGCAAATGTAAAAAAAA